ATATATATATATTTTTTTTCTTTATATGAGAGTTGAAGTCGGTTTGTTTTGCTAAAAATTACTTGTTTATTTATATAATTTATTTTATTTTTTGTTGCATTTGAAATCATATCGTTAAGCCCCGCGGGCAGAGCTTCGGGCATTGCATAATTCAAGGGCAGATATTTGTTTTTGTGAACTTTTACGTTCCTTGTATAGAGTTTGAGAATACCCCTAAAGAAATTTTTTGGGGAATAATTTTCTGGAAAATTTTAACCCCCTAGCGACCTCTGAAATGCCATTTTATTCACATTTTCCGAAAAAAGGGGGTAAAACGACGCTTCCGTGATTCCGTGGATTAAAATTTTCAACAAAATTATTTCCGGTGAAATTTCACTATATCTACCTAAACACAATCTTTCGCTCTGATTTCACTGTTAACCCTTTTTTCCACTTAATCTAAAAACCTGCAAAAATATTTGGAGGTTTTACTATATGGGTCTAGGTCTGTCATCCTGAGTTGGAATCATGCCACTCAAACAAAGACCTTGAAATTGCTGGACAGTGTTATCTATAAAAATAAAAAAAAACATTTATCACATTTACTAGCAAAATGTTTTATCAGCAAATAATATATATTACATAGATTCCATTACTGATGCTTCCAAGTGGCACTAAGTTTGTTGAAGTGTTTTATTTACTATAAAAATTCATTGAAAAATACCCGGTGTTTCTATGATTTGCAATACTTACTAGCGTGTGCCGAAAATCCGCTTTTTTAGAATTTTGATTGGTACTAGCAAAAATATGGTTCACTATGCTCTAAAAAGAATCTATGTGAAAGATGACAATTTTTGATCAATATCTTAGGCTCGTCCAAGTCCATCAAAGTTCAATGTGCTCAAAAAATAAAAATTAATAAACACATTAATTAATATTTTTTTTTTACTAAAATCGCAAGTATTTTCGAAAGTATTAGTACCACATAAGTAATTAGGTATATAGACTTTTATTGTAGAGAATCGAAATAGGCTAAGAAACATTTTTTTTTTAACACTTGACTTGGGCGAGCCTAAGATATTATCCAAAAATTTTTCATCTTTCACACAGATTGTTTCTAGAAGATTATGAACCGTATTTTTGCTATTACCAATCAAGATTCTAAAAAAGCGGATTTTCGGCCCACGCTTATACTTATTAAAGCCGCAGTGGAGCTATCCTGTATGTATACATACATACATGGTCCTCTATGTTCTCTACAGATCCGTATGTACTATTTTAATTTAAAGAAGTAATAAGAATTAAAAAGTTAAGTTATTGTAGTAATTTATGTCGATATTAATAAATTTTTGTAATAATCTTATCTACCGTTATTTTTTCGGCTTATTGATTGCGGCTGGTCTACTTTTTTCCAACAGTTTAACCCATCAACTCCCAACAGAACGGGCTTTTTTTACCCTCTTTTTAAAAGATGTTAAATTTAAACTAAAATATTAAGCGCCAAATTTTTCTAAGGTTAACCGAATGTAATGAAAAATAATACAAATTTTTACCAAAAAAGTGGGAACTTTAACCCTGTGTAGAAAACGTAATTTTCACACAGCCACCTATTACTTGCATACGTCTGTGGGATCCAAGAATAATATAACTAACGAATGTAAAAATTCGCAAGAAAAGGTTTTGCTTTTTATTAAAAGTCTGTTTAAAAAATATCCAACCTTTTATTACAGAAAAAAATACACAAGAAAAATCAACTTGTTTTTGTTTTACCTCCAATATTTTGAGGAGTTATAGTTGATTTCCACCAAGCCTTAACTGCAGTTTATGCCTATTGCAATAAGGAGATTACAACTCAAAGAGGGTAATTCTTCTTATTAAGTTAAGAAGCAAACGAGAAGAAAAAAGCAAATATTAAGAAAGAAACCTTGCCGATTACCTCATGTTGGAATTCTTGGAGCTTATCTGAGCTCTAAACTGCAGTTAAACCTTTAGTGGAAATAGGCTATTATGGAAGAGGGGCAGTTCTGTTAAAACTGCTTTCTGAGATATTACCGGTAAAGTTTTTGATGTTTGATGACTTTCTTGTTGTTGTAGTATATAAAAAAGAAGTATTGAAAAAAATTAACTTAAATTAAATTAAAAAATCGTCATATTACCAGTGCTCGACTCTAATTTAACTGTAATAAAAAAGCTTTCGATCGAAAAACATGTTTCCTATGTTTTTTCTGAATTAGTTTTTTTTTTTTTGTTTTTTGAAAAAAAGGAGATCATATTTTTATTCAGTGGCCCAAAGCAGGTAATAAAAAATCTTCTTAAAAAATGTAATTTTCATTTCGTAAAATAGCGTTATTTATACGAGTAGTATTTCCTTCAAACGATATAACTATTTCAATGTGCATACATCATTAAAATTTTATACAAAACTCCTTAGGCGCCGAACGCCGCCGCCGCGCCGATATTTTCGTAACTTGGCGGCAGCGTGTGAAGAATGATAAAAAAGGGCGGCGGTGGCGTAAAACTCTAGTACCTATGTATATATGTATGCACATATGAATGTATGTAAAAGGCTAATGATAGTAAATAAAATCGCATTCTACATTTTGGCGTAAACAAAAACAATAATTGTTTTTAACAGATAAAATTCACAATAACGGCATTAAACATTGATAAGTGCAACGTGTAGCTGACTCAACTGAGAGCAGAGAAAAACAATGCATAAACCGCAACAACAAATTCCCATATCAACAAATGCAAATAAATTTGGAATAAACACCGCCACTCGGCTGCTCGTGCTCGGTCATGCGGCATTGTTACGGTGACCATATTAACTAACGTAAAATAAAGGACTTTTTTCAAAAAGGCTTCGCAATCCTTTGCTACCAAAATGCGTTTACCATAATTCATACTGCACGACGAAGCCAGCACACAGTGGTTCAAAATTGGAATTTAATGTTCATAATGCACCGAAGCCTTCATTTTTCAACCAATTTTTACTAAAAACCAAAAAAATATTTATTTCGGTGAAAATTTTTTTATAACATTTCCAAATTTTTTTTGTGTATTTTTTTTTTTTTGAGAACCATATAATTGTTTTCAACTAGTTAATAAATGACTTGAACAGGAGAATACATTTTCTTCAAAATTGCTACTTTATCTGAATTTTGCTCTAAAAAATTTTATATAATCAAATAAAAGTTCAGAAATCAGGCTCAACTGGTATCTTGAAAATATCGTAAGCTTTCATAAAAAAATAAAAATTAATCATATTAAGTGAAAAATGAAGGCGCCAGTGAATTACGAACACTAAATGCCAGTTTTGAACCACTGTGCAGCAGGGGGTTTATTGTTCTCGAAACTCCGCGTGCAACACGATCCTGGGCACAACTTTCCCTGTGCTTTATAGATTGTACAAAGATTACCAATTAAATAGAAACCCTTAAGTGGGGTGCGAAACAAACTGGCGAAGGTTTTCATTACATTTTATAAGGGACATCTTTATTTTGCATATTCTGCGTTTAAAAATTTATCAACTCTGAAAAATGCAGAGCTGATTTAAAGGACAGTTTAAGAAATAAAGGACAAAATTCGTCCTTTATTTTGAAAAAAATTATAAAGGACAGGGGATTAAAATAAAGGACTGTCCTTTAAAATAAAGGACGGATGGTCACCGTAGGCATTGTGCAACTAAATACTATTTACTATCTAAGCATATAAAACGTGCAGCTCATTACAAGCCAAAAATAGTTAAGGGGAAATACTTATATAAAGTATATATGTATATGTGTGTATGTATATTGTAAGATTTTTATGCAAACCACAATGACTGTTCAGAATATTTAATTAATGTTTACTACTGGTAAATATGACAGTTAAAATAATAAGATAATGAGTAATGTAAATAAAAGGTATACAAGTGCGCATTTAGGTGGTACGTATCTCAATAAATACCGCAATTGCTGGCTTGCATTTTGTTGACACCAAACAAATATAGATTTATGTATATATTTGCATGTGAACTTTAATCAATTTAATATGTATATGCGTGTACCTCTGCTATAGCACCTGGTGATACTATGATCCTATTTGGTCTTTGTGAGTCCTCTAATGACTGCCAATGAAATTGAGGATTAATTGGATGATAACTTGATCGAGATATTTCCGCCTGAAAGGCAGTGCAGTGGTCCGAAAGCCGGAACCTAGTTTTGATGCAGTGCTCCCGCCACAGAACAGAACACCCCTCTACCACACCTGCCTCCAGGTTGGGATACGGTCCGTCCGGCTTATATTCGAATACCCTCTATCTGCACTTTTCACAAAAATCCACCTAAAACTTAACTGTCATCGGTGATATTAATGCTGACCTTGTATAACGCCTGACAGAGGAATTTGCTATTAACTTGCAAAGTCAGAATTAAAATCGCTGATGTCAGATAAGTCCCACAAGGGTTCTAAGATCGCAAAGTAGTTTTTGTGAAAATTGCAGATAGAGAAACAAAACCTGAATGAGAAAATATTCCGACAAAATTCAAAAATTTTCCTGACGCAACTTCTTTTCACGTTGACTAAAGACTTTTGGTGCTTAGACTGCCAAAATGAAAAATCTTGACTTTATACTATTTAACAGCAACTTTTAAAGTGACTGCTAACAATAAAAAATGTGTAACCGATAAATAAAGTTAAAAAGGGAACTTTTGTTAATAAAATTTTCGCTTACAAATTGTTCGGTGATGTTCAGAATAGGCCTCTAAGTGAGGTCGAAAATATTGTAATTCCAAAATTTTTACTAAAAAATTTTCACAAAAATTTTAGAAAGTTTGGGAATTATTCTTCAAAAAGTATGTTTTGTAATATGATTCGAAAACACTCCAGTAACAAAATGGTTTGTAAGAATGTTTTAAATTTTTGGTAGATTTATGTTTTAATATTATCTAATTTTAGAGAATACATAATCCTTCCTAACATTTCATTTTTCTGTCGCTTTTTCTTATTCACTAACAATTTTCACTTTTATTCTCTTTCAGGATGGCCCTGCACGCTCATAGCATCAACACGGTGCGCTCCACCACCAGCTTGAGCAACATGATCAACAGCAACAACAATGATCTTGCCAATGGCAGCAATGATCGCCGCCATATTGTCGATATATTAGTTGGTGTTGTTGCGGTACCGGTGTTAATACTTTTCGCATTACAACTGGAAAAGAATCTACAAAATATGCCCAACAGTCCATGGTTGGTGTTTGTGCTGGGCGTGGGACTGCTAATGGTGATCATGATAATTATCGGTTATGTGACGCATCGGTTGAGTGTGTGCTGTTGGACGGGACCCATCGATGAGATGGGCAACCGAATGGATGGACGGGGAATACCACATGTAAGTTGCGTTATAGCGACAGTTTTTTCGAGGTTCATTCAAATTTGTTTCAGCCAAGGTATAGGAATCAGGTAGTATAGCATTAAAGCAAAAACAACATTTACGTGTACATATTTTGTTATTGCTTCTTCTGGTATCTAAAGTGTCAAAAAAATATATAAAAATTTTAAAATGTATGCGAATTTTTTGCAAGGCCCAAAAACAGTGTTGCAAAAGCTGCTGAAAAAAGGTTTCACAAGCAAATAAATTTCGACAATATAATTTTTTTTTGGAAAAAAATAACAATCAGCCCTATTGCCAACTCCTTGTGAATAAATCGTTGCCATAATTTTACAGGTAAAATAATAACAAATTGGGAAAAATTGTTATTGTTTTGCTTTATAATTTTTGGGAATATTAGTTCACGGGAAATTCGCGATAAGGCCGAATATTTGACATTTTAGAGATGAAATAATTTGAAAAAAAAAATCAAATCAGCTGTTCTGCTGCTACTACCTGTTCAATATGCCTTGGTTTTTCGAGCCAAATTCCGAATCGAATTGCA